ACAAACATAGACACAGACACATAGACACACAGACACACAGACACAGACACACACACACACACGCACACACACGCACACACACACAGACACACACACACACAGACACACACGCACAGACACACACACACACACACACATAAACACAGACACACAGACATGTAATTTGAATTTAGGTTTAAGAAGGTTGTCATGTGCATCTCAATTTATATGTAATTAGTATTACATTTAGAGAGCATTTCGGCCATGTGCACTCATGCACATGGGGTGTTCGAAATTCACTCTCAAATGCATGGGATCATTAAAATTTGATGTATAATATGAATTATTGAATGAAGTATGTATAAGTAAACTTATTCTTGAAATAAATATATTTCTTATATATGTGTGTGTATGCATATGTAAATCAACTAATGTGGAGTTGTTCTACCTTAGTAACTTCAAAATTGAGTTTTTGATATGCAAATGTGTTAAATATTTAGAGATAAAATTTTGCCCTATATAGTGGTCTTTGTCCTTATGAAAAATACATGTGATCTATAAAAAAGATAAATCAAAATATATATTTTTTTCTTCAATATCATAGTAATGGTAAAAAAAATGTATGCAATGTTATTCTTATTAGTGTTAGGATATAAACAAAAGCTCATATTATTTGAATAAGAGGAAGAATACGAGTTTATAAGCACATGAATATCTCTATTGATATGAAGTCTCTTGAGTGACGACTAAAAGTAAACAATAAGAATTTAAATTCAAAGTAGACACCTTTAATATAATTGTGGAGATGTGTGCGAATCTTTGGTGCACAACAAGTGATTTTAGAGTTGATGGTTCGACTAGGTGATTAGCTTAAACAAGTATTAGGCAGTGAAATTAGTAGTGTATTCATGTTTGGAGATCATTTATGTCGAAAGTCTTCTTGATGGTGTAGAAGTCAAACAACGTGTCCTATTGATATGTGAATTAATGATGACGTAAATATCTAAAGCTTATTGGCAATGATAGCTAAATTTTAAGGATCACCATTGAATACTTGTATATTGAAAAGAAGACTTTTGATAAGGGGGAGGTTAAATCACAATCCTTAATTTGAGAGGATGATTGTTAGAGCAAATCTATAAGAGGTTAAATCTAAAGTGAACAATATCATAATAATATGAAGATATGTATGAACTTTTATTGCACAATAGGATATAATATAATGGGCTTAATATCACTAAATGGGTCAAAATATTGGTCTATTTTTGACAAACTAAAAAAACATGATTGATTACATCTTACAAGAATTTATATGAAAATTTTAGCCATTAGTTCTTGAGCTTTTAAATGTATTTTTATCCCATTTGAATACTTAAATAATTGTTTGTTAAAGTCATCTTAATATATTTCTAGGGTATTTTTCTTAAATTCCTATGTTGCTAGAAGTTACATTGGAAATCATGAAAGTATAGGGCTACACTTTCTAATAACCCTTGACACCCTTAACAGTTTAAGCTCATCAAAGCTTCAATAGCCTCAACAACCTAAGCACATCAAGTAACCCTTTACAACTGTTGACAACTTCAACAGCCTAAGTCCATCAAGTAAACCATTACACCCCTCGATAACTTCTATAGCCTCGGAAGCCTAAGCACGTCAAGTAACTCTTTACACCCCTTGACAACCTAAGCTCATCAAGTAACCCTTTACGCCTTTCAGAAGCATAAGCCTTACTGATATGGTGCTGACTAAGGGTGTCAAACAAACATGACTTGATAATGTTGATTAGGTTATGGGTAAACAAGGCTAGAAATTTAATCTCTAATTAAGACCATATTACCTGATGGAGGGTCATGGGCCAAGGGCCCAACTACTAGGGCTATGGCCAAGAGGATGCATGAAGAATGGGCTAGTGCTCAAGAGAAGCCCATAGTACTTTTTAGTTGGTCTTTGACTCAAGCCCATGTAGATTAGGTTTAGGCCCATTGGGCTTGTATTGTGTTTTTAGGCCTTGTATTTTGGCCAAGTAGTGTAGGAATTTCATTTTATTGTAATTTGAATTTAGGTTTAAGAAGGTTGTCATGTGCATCTCAATTTATATGTAATTAGTATTACATTTAGAGAGCATTTCGGCCATGTGCACTCATGCACATGGGGTGTTCGAAATTCACTCTCAAATGCATGCTAAATTACATGTAAATTAAGTAGCACATGGGGAGACACACAGACACAGACACACAGACACAGACACACAGACATACACACACACACGCACACACATACACATAGACAAACAGACACACAGACACACACACACGCACAGACAAATAGACACACACAGACACACACAGACACACACACAGACACACATAGAGACACACACAAACACACACAGACACACAGACAGATAGACACACACACACACATAGAGACACACACACATACACACACAAACACACACAAACACACAGACACACACACAGACAGAATTAGTATTACATTTAGAGAGCATTTCGGCCATGTGCACTCATGCACATGGGGTGTTCGAAATTCACTCTCAAATGCATGCTAAATTACATGTAAATTAAGTAGCACATGGGGTGACCGGTTTTGGCACCAAAATTTGAATTTAAACATTCAAATTTTGGCGCCTAAGGTTATATAAACCATACCATGGTTTAACTTAACCTTAGGTTAAGCCTAACTTGTCCCACACACTTTCTTAGCCAATATATTTCCTTAGGTCCGTGTAAATCATTCACTTTGGCATATATGAGAATTTCATTCTTTGAATAAACTCTCACCAAAGTCACCTAGGAGAACCTCTTCTCCACTTCTCCTTGAGCCTTTCTCTTTGTAGAATTAGGATTCCTACTTCTATCCGAGACTGTTGGCTCAACTTATGTTACATTTGCTTCTCCATCTTTGCTTCTCATCCTTGCGTCACTCTCAAGGATCTGTGGAGGAGTTTTGTTCAAGTCTCATGGAGTTTTCCTCATGAAGGCTCCATCAAGTGGTATCTAGAGCAAGGTTTCATCAAGAGATAAGTAACACATCTTTTGGTGATTTGTTTTTCATTTTTGATCCATGTCATTGTGTTGTTTGTCTTGATTGAGTTTCTTTCACTAGATCTAATTTTCTCCTCATCTAAATTGATAGATCTAGTTTCGGTTGCTTCTTGATTCATACATGTTTTTGTTCTTGTTCATATCCTATGAATCATATCTCTAAATGTGCTTTAGGATTCAGCTTATGTGCTTTCAAATTTTTTGAGTCTTGTTTCAATTTTCGGTCATATGCTTAAATTTTTTAGTCTTTTGAATTTTTGAATCTTCTTCAATATGTCTAGTGTCATGTTTAGCCATTTATATGTCACATCTTCTTAGCTATGCTTGTTTAGCTTTTATTTTTTGTTTCATTTGAGTATGAATATGGACTTTGACCGAATCCAATGTGCTTGTGGTGCTTTTGAATTTTGAATGCAATTTGAGTTCATGAATTACTACTAGATCATTAGTAATTCTCCTTTAGAGTTACCTTGTTGTCAATGTGTTGTCTAATTTTTACTTTTGAAATTTCTTCTATAAATCTTCTTTTGTGTGATAAGCTTGTGCTAGAAATTGATTTGAAAATTTGAATTCAAATTTTGGAAGGAAAATCGTGGCACATGGAGTGAGTTAAAACAAATGAGAAAAGCATGACCTAGTGACTTACATTTCAAAGCAATTTGCGTCTCATTTGTTTTTCAAAATGCAAACCGGTTTTGGTGCATATAAAAGTTGTGATCGAGAGTTTGAAATTCAAAATTCAAAGGAAGAAAAGGCATCTCCTAAAAGAAAGTATATAAAAAAAACAAAGCAAAAGAAAATTCAAAATAACATTGATTAAAAAAAAAGAATATATCCAACAAAAGCCAAAAGGAGATTAAAAATTTGTGTATGCTTCTCGTTTTAGTTATTGTGGTGGAGAAAACATTTTACATGATGCTTCATCTTACATGTTGATTACTCCTTATTCTTGTTTTTGATTTGTCAATCTAAATCTAGAACCATTCCTAGGAGTATTCTTTCTTGAAGCTAGCCTAATTGTCTTCTTTAGGGTTTAGGGTTTAGGGTTTAGGGTTTAGGGTTCAATATTTAATCTCTAAATGTGGCCTAAGTATAAGCTAACAAGTTTCTTTAGAAGCTAATTCTACAAGGGTCATCAAAAGAGAGCTAAGGAAGACTTGTGGAAGAGTGACTATCTTGGGTGAATTTTCGGCTAGCTACTAAACACGCATCCTCATCCCTTAAACACCTTGATCTTGGCTGCTGCATCTCCTACAAAGCTGCGGAATTCAACCTGGAAAATCTCAATTTACATGTAATTAGTATTACATTTAGAGAGCATTTCGGCCATGTGCACTCATGCACATGGGGTGTCCGAAATTCACTCTCAAATGCATGCTAAATTACATGTAAATTAAGTAGCACATGGGGTGACCGGTTTTGGCACCAAAATTTGAATTTAAACATTCAAATTTTGGCGCCTAAGGTTATATAAACCATACCATGGTTTAACTTAACCTTAGGTTAAGCCTAACTTGTCCCACATCATATTATGTTTTGTTAGAAAAGGAAAAGAAAATAAATAAATGTGATCATCATAGGATAATTTATATATATATATATAATAGATATTATTAATACTAATATTAATAATAAGCATCATAATTGTTATTATTATTATTATTATTTAAACAAATTAAAATTACAAGAGAATTTAACACATATATTTAGAGAAACAACTTAATCAAATAATTATACTATTCTTTCAAAAATGTAAATTAATGCTAGAAATAATCAAAATCACTAAACATGCTAATTTAACCATAATTTATAAATTTTAGCCAAAAAATGGAAAAAAGGAACAAAATCTGATTGTTATATATGTATATAAAAATGTTAGTTTGCTAAATGGGCTTAGCCCACGTATTCAACAAAACAGGAACAGAAAAGAGAAAAAAAATAAGAAAAAGGGGCGTTAGGGTTGTTGTTGCTGTAACTTATCCCTTATAACCTAATAGGAATAAAATGGGAAAATGAGCGGTGACAATGAGAGAAAAAGAGAGAGAAAGGGGAGAAGGAGGTTGTCACACACGGCTTCACTCCATGAACGATGACAATTGCCATAATGCGAGGAAGAAGATTAAAGTGGGCTTCACCGTTGCTGGAAATCGCCTCCGACAATGGTGCGTGACGGTGTTTACCGTGATTTGGTCAACGTAGTGGCTCATCAATGCAATAAGAAAGCGAGGGAGAAGATGAAAGCGAGCATCATCACCATCGAAAATAGTTTCCAGCAGCGACGCACAACAGCGTTCATTAGAACCACTTTTTTGTTGCATTGTTACGAATTACTCATTTTATTCTTTATTACTATCTTCTTCCTATTAGAATTGAATTTTTATTTGCTAAATTCTTTGCTGGGGTTTGGGAATAAGGGTTTCAATTCCATGGTAAAAAGATTCACTAAAAAAAATTGTTTCAGTGATTAGAAATTGATTTGCATACCAAATAAAATTAGAGAGCGTAATTAATACGCAGAGTCAATCGTGCACTACTTTAGCCTTTTCTTCTGCCTTTTGCTTGAGTTCTACTCCCTCTTGATCATTGGTTATCCTTCTTTCTCCTTGTTTGAATTTTTTTTTTCTGTTCATGTTATGTTACAATATTTATAGACTCACTATTGTTTTAATCCTTCTTTGGCAGTTGGTGCCAAGTTCATGCTTTTGGAAGCATATATTGTAGAAGTGCGATCTTAGGGACATGTTGGTGGTTATGCCAGAGAAGCTCAACAAAGCTTGTTGGGGGAGATTCAAGAGCAACAGTAAAATGTAGAATGACAGAGATTTTGGGTACAAAGGAACATATTGTTTCCTTCTTTCCTTGTCTTTTTCTAATTCTTTTTTATTTATTTATGATTATTGTATATATTTTTATTTGAGTTTAAATCTGGGTTGTAAATTATTTTTATTCTTGAATCATTGATTTAGAAATTTTGAGAAAGAAATTAGTAGAAAAATTAATGGATAAAAATTGATGTTTATATTCCTTTGTTCATATATTCTAATATATCATCCATCCATTCCTTTCCTGAGAACTCCACCTAACAACATTCTTCATTTGCTATACTAGGAACTTCTAATTTTCGTTGATGAAATATATGCTATTGTCTTGGCTTTCGACTACTAATCAATCTTGCTAGTTGATATGCTTTTTCATTATTACTCCAAGGAGTGTGTTTTACTTGTATTTCTTCAAAATTTTCTTTTATCCTTTGGAACATATGAAAAAAAACTCAATAAATGAGGTTATTTTATTTGAAATGTCCTATTAATTTGTTCAACTACAACCTTCGAATCAGTGTAACATATCACTCTTTGAGCATTCATCTCATCAGCTAACCGAAGACTTTCCAAGTGGGCTTCATATTTTGCTTGATTGTTTGATGTTTTGAAATTAAACCAAAGAGATTGTTTAATTGACTTTCTGTTTGGTCCCTCTAATATAATATCAACACCACTTCCTTGCTTATTTGAATTCCTATTAGTAAGTAGTGTCCACCATGTTGACTCAGCTATCCCTTCTGGGGGTAATTCATTGATGAAATCAACTAAGTGTTGAGCTTTGATGGGCCATCTTAGTTCAAATTGAATAGAAAATTATGATAACTCTATTGTCCACGTCATCATTCTTCCTAGCAATTCAGGTTTTCTTAAAATCTTGGATATAGGACAATTTATTCTTACAACCACGGAGTGACTTTGAAAGTATTGTCAAAGTCTTCTTTCAGTGATACTAAACTTAAATCCATTTTCTCTATCAATTTGTATATGATCTTGACATCATGTAGTACTCAACTAAAAAAATAGATAGGTTGTTGTTTTCCATCTTTTTCTTGTCTAGTACAACACTAACTACTTTGTTCGAGACCGATAAGTAAACAATAAGATATTTCCCTGCATTTGGCTTATTAAGATTGGAGAAGAAACTATCATTTGCTTTAGACCCGAAAGGCCTCTTCACACTCTTCGACCTATTGGAATTCCTTTATTTTTCTCAACAATTTGATTATTGGTTTTGTTCTTTCGACTAATCCAGGTATGAAACATGATAATTACATTAATCTTCCTATTAACTATTGCACCTCCTTCAAGTTTTTCAAATTTATCAAGTTGATCACTATTTGACACTTATTAGGATTTGCTTGTATTCCTCTATTCGAAAGCATAAATCCTAAGAATTTTCCTCCTTGCACCCTAGACACACATTTTTCTAGATTAAGTCTCATTTTATGTTTTTATTTATCAAGTTGATCACTATTTGACACTTATTAGGATTTGCTTGTATTCCTCTATTCGAAAGCATAAATCCTAAGAATTTTCCTCCTTGCACCCTAGACACACATTTTTCTAGATTAAGTCTCATTTTATGTTTTTGGATTTCCCCGAATACTTCTTTCAAATCTTTTATGTGCTCTTCTATGTTGTTTGATTTTACCACCATATTATCGACATATACCTTTAGATCCTTTCCAATTTATTTATTAAAGATTTTATCCATCAACCTTTAATATGTAGCTTTTGCATTTTTCAACCTAAAGGGCGTCACCTTATAATAGTAATTAGTTGACTTAGTTATAAATGCAATTTTTGTTTCATCTCTCATGTACATCCTTATTTGATTATATTCCAAATATGCATTCAAAAAATTGAAAGTATGATGTTCAACTGCATTGTCTACAAGTTGGTCTATGTTTGGAAGAGGATATGCATCTTTAGGATATGATTTGTTCAAATCGGAATAATATGTGCACATTCTCCATTTTCCATTTGTCTTTTTAACCATAACTACATTGATTAACCAAGTAGTATATTAAACTTCTCTTATAAATCAAACACTTATCAATTTTTGTACTTCTATCTCCACTACCTTCCTTCTATCTTCCCCCATTTTTCTTTTACATTGTGCTACCAATTTTACTTCCCTACATAATGCTAATCAATGACAGTGAAAGTCAGGATCAATTCCTGACATGTTAACAATTGTCCACGCAAATAACTCATCGTTCATTTTCAAAGTTCTTTGAATTAGTTCTCATTAACACAAGTTAAGTTGAGATCCAATATAGGTGTTTTGTCTAGACTCCTCTCCCAGTTGAAATGGTAATGTTCCTCATTTGGCTTCGTTATGAAATCATCATTACCCATCAATGGATCTAGGTCTATTAAGGTTTATGTATCCTCAGCTATGATCGATACCATGTGTACATTCTTGTCTTCCTCTTCTATAATAAGTATTACTTTTAGGCTTGTCATATAACATTCTTTAGCTATCTTTTGATCAACATGAATGCAATTATCTTTCAAGATTCAACAAGAAATTTCTTGGCGAGATGAGGGGTAGAGATAATAGCATTGAGGGCATTTATGGGTGGTCTTTCGAGTAGAATATTATATGAACTGTTAGTATTTACAACAATATACCTAATCTTTATAGTTTTGCTACTTTTTGATCGAAATCGAAGCAAGTGTAAAGGTCAATACATCCCCTTATTGTTACATGTTCACTCGAGAAACCTACTAAAGGTTCATTATAATACTTCAATCCTTCCTTTGATATTCTCATTTGCTTGAACATCTTCCAATATAGTAAATCAGTCGAACTCCCTTGATCTACTAAAAATTTCTTTATGTTACAATTGTTGATCTTAATGCCGATTATCATAGGGTCATCTTGTATGGGATATACCCCTTAAAAATCTTCATCATTAAAAGTTATTGTAAACATTCTTGTTTTTCTTCTATCTTTTACTGCATTCACATATTTCATTGCCTTTAAATGCCTCTTTCTAGTCAAAGAGGTAGCATCCCCACCAACGAACCCCTCATAAATAATGTTAATAACTTTCTTTACTTGATCCCTTGAACTGTCACTACTTTCTTCTTCTTCTTTTTTTTTTTTCATTTTTTTTCTAAATCTCTTTTTTGAGACATAACTTTATCCTCTACGATTTTGTCCTCTATTGGATCCATATTTTTTTAATATGATTTTTATACTATTTGTTATTTTAGCGTGGGTAAATATTTGTCAGATTTTTTTATTAAAAACAGTTGTTAGACTTGTAACTTTAAGACCATGTTTTATTTATTTATTTTTATTAAAAAATACTACGTTTAAATGTTTGAACTTCGAATGAAAGATGACAAAAAGAAGGCATAAAAAGTAATATATATCAAATTTTATTATATATGTTTAGTTCAAGGTATAATGTTACATTTTCTTTTTAGTTGTAATTTTTTTTCTTTCCTAAACCAAACATATCATGAGAATGTATTTGATAAAATTAGTTAAAAAGTTATCTAAAAGATGAAAATCTATTAACTGAAACAGAAAACTTATAAACTGCTAATTTATGTAATTAGAAATGTTTAGTTGTTAAATTAACTGAAAGTAATATTTATCAAATTTTATTAGACATGTTTAGTTCAAGGTATAATGTTACTTTTATTTTCTGTAAATTTTTTTCTTTCCTAAACTAAACATATCATATTATAAATGTTTAGTTGTTAAATTAACTGAAAATATAAAGTGGCATATATTTTTTTAATTAATATCAAGTTTTTAAAAGACGTGTTTATATGATTTTTTTTATACATAAATTATAGGCTAAAAACTTATTTTGGTCCCTTATAATCTTTTTTTGTTTCAATTTAGTCCCTCATTAATTTTTTGTCTCAATTTGGTCCCAAATTAATTAATTGGTTTCAATTTAGTCTCGAATAAATTAATTGGTTTCAATGTAGTCCAAATTTATTTAACGGTGTTAACTATTGGCTACATGGATACCACGTAGATGCATAAGTGGATGCCACGTGGATGACACGTGGATGCCAATTGCGTTGAAAACACCTGGAACCAGAACGGGCCGTTCTAGATGCCTTTTTGGTGTGTTAATTTTGCATCTGAAACGGGCCGTTCCAGATGCAAAATTAACACACCAAGAGTAGAGCAGAACGGTCCGTTGTGAAATCAGAACGGCCCGTTCTGGAATCAGAACGACCTGTTCCAAAACTGAGAATAGAATATTAATTTTTAATTTTATTAAAAAATATAATAATTTTGAAAATTATTTTTTTATGGTAAAAATTTTAAAATTACTTATTTTTATTAAATACAATTGTCTTATAAATAGAGTAATAACTTTTTCTTTTTCTTTTTCTATCTGAAAAAATATTTAAGTGTCACTTTATAATTTTTTGTAACTTATTTAAAATTAGAGGAATAAAATGATAAAATTTAATAAGATAAACATAATAAAATTATTAATTTATTTTATTTTAGTGTTCTCTAAATTTTTACATTCATTTAAAACAAAAATATTTTATATGTTAATTTGAATTAATTTAACGAAGTATCATATGATTTTTAATTTTTTAAATTTTTTTATAAATTTGATCTATACATGAAAAACTTTTTAATTTAACAATTAAATTCTTAAAAATTTGATATAGAACATTAATTATTAAATAGAATAAATCTATCAAGACTTACTCTTGAAGTAAGTAAATTTTTT